TTGTTTAAAGATTTTTCTTTAACCCCTTCTTGATCTGGTACATTTCATACTACATAAATAATTGATGATATGGAGATGGCTTTCTTTTGGTAGCAAATTTTAAAAGTTAAATTTTAATTTATGTTTATAATTCAGAAAAAAAATAGGGATGTTCCGGTGCCTATACTGGGCATTTTCACAAGTACTCATACTCGAAAGCGATACCGGCGCTTTACATTTTTTAATTGAAGTGGCTGCCGTAAGATCCTGAACTTGCTAGGGACCTCATGGCAGCCTTCTTGGGAACCATGCAGTGCCTGTTTACAGTCGCTGCCTGCACATCTCCCCCTTCTAAAACCTTCCACACCCCTCCTACGATCCACTGCACTCCTTCTGAGATCCTCTGCACCCCTCCTGAAACCCTTGGCAGCCATGCGGAGACCCTCCATAGCCCTCCAGAGATTCTCCACCCCCCTCCTGAGACCCTCCACAGCCCTCCTGATATCTTTCACACCCCTCCTGAGACCTTTCACAGCCTTTTTGAGACCCTGTGATCGAGACATCAGGCCGGCACCCCAGAGCAGAGCGGCAGCACAGGGTATGTAGGAAATGAATATACTATTATTCTTCATTGCTGTATAAGGTATTACTAGGATTTGTAGTCTTCTATAACCGGTGCCATTCTGCATTCATGTATAATGTATTGCTGAGATTTGTAGTCCCTCTACAGCTTGGAGTCCATGGCAGCACTACTAGGGCCTGATGCTCCATCAATGTCCTAAAATCATTTTTCTGAATTATTTTAGAAAAACTGCCACATGACTTTAAAAAAATGTATTGGTAATTGGTATCAACGAATACTTGAGGTAAAGTATTGGTACTCATACTCGATGTGGAAAAAAAATGGTATCAGTGCATCCCTAGAAAAAACCCTTTTCTTCAATTTCTTCTGAAATAAAACAAAATTGGTAATAGTCCTATTTTAAGCTCATATTTTCTTGTTTGTCCAAATTTCTGTAATACTAAACACTTTGGGTCTTTAGAGTTAAACACTTGGTCTCAAAATAATTATGAATTAATATGAATGAATAATTATGAATGCAGTTTCTATGTTTGTTTGTTTTGTTTGTTCTATGGTCTGTATGTTTTCTATAGTTTGTATGTTTCGAAATCCTTAACAAATATGACTAAGACCTAGAACGCACCATCATCTCTGCCTTATTTACACTAAGGAGTGACCAAATGCATCCATTTAAATGTGATTTCACCTATTTTTTTATCCAGTGTTGCACATAAACATTATGCAGTAAAAAAGTTGTTTTCCCAAAACTGCTGTATTTAAATAGTCCCTTTTTTGCTTGCAATTGGTCAAGTGCACAAATACTGTATGCCCTATAATGTAATAAGACACTTCTTCCTTGTTCTGCCTTTATTCTGTGTGTAAGAGTACATAACATTAGAAATGCTCCAGAGGAACATTATTAAGAAAAGGTGACAAGGTATGTTGTCAAGTGGTTGAGCAAGAAATATGGACTCTTTTTGTTTGTTTTCTTTTCCTCTAAGGGTATAATATAATAAAGAAAAGGGAACCATTTCCCCCTGCCAAAGGTCTTTGATACTGCAAGTCACAAAACAAACAGAGAGTGCTCTACAACCAATGCTTCCTCCTGCTCTTGCTTATAAACAGTAAAGAAAAGTGTTTATACATACAGTATTTCCAGTTAAAATCTTCTTTATTTGTTCAAGGCATAAATTCAGAAATAGCAGTCCCACTATCACGTTTCAGCCAAAAGAGGCCTTAAACATAGCTGCAGAAATGTGTCCACTAATGTGCACATACAAAAATCTACTGTTAGGGTCCCTCACCACTTTTGTGATAATTATCGGTAGGTTACTGAACGCAATGTTTTAACAAATCTCATAAACCCATATTGTATTCAAAGATAACATATAGAAAACATATGAAATGTTGAAACTGAAAAAAGGTACCATTTTAAGAAAAAGATATGGTAACTTTGAAATTGATGGCAGCAACACATCTCCATAAAGTTGGGACAGAGCAACAAAAAGCTGGTAAAGTACATGGTACTAACAAGGAAGAACATTTTGCAACTAATTAGGTTAGTTGTCAACAGGTCAGTAACATGATTGGGTATAAAAAGTGCATCTTAGAGAGTTAGAGTGTCTCAGAAGTAAAGATGGGCAGAGGTTCACCAATCTGTGAAAAGCCTGGTCGGACTTACCATACACTGTGGCTAGTAACCTTGAGCTCTTAAATGCAGCCAAAGAGGTGCAGCATATCATTCGTAGGGTTACAGAAAGCTTCCTGGTAAGGACACAGTTTAACCCAGGAAAAATGAGGGACAATGAGTTTAAAAGGAAATCCCCAGTCGTATTGTATTTTGGCTGTAGCAAAGGTGTAGGTAATGTCCCCAAGCTGTTTTCTTCATAGGATTGCCAACACGATGTTGCTGTATTTTGCTATCACGTGTTGTTTGAGCAGCTCAATGGAGGTCCTCTTTAACTTGGTAATACAAGAGGTGTGGGACCCTTAGTCTCCAGGCAGAGACTTGGAGAGAAGAGTTCTATGAATCCGATTGTACTCAAATCTCAAATCTGTCCTGTGTTGTGTCAGGGAACATATGGTTGAAAAGGCCTTAAACATAGGCATCACCATCCTGTGCCATCCTGCAATTTTTTGCTATCAGAGAGAAAGAGTCTCTTACTGTAGAGCCAGGCTGTACCTTTGATGATTCGGTGCTTTCATATCATAGGAGAGGTATTCCCTCTGGATGGGGGGTATAGCAGTTATTGTTATTAAGTGCCTGGGTTTATATCAGTGGTTAGCTGTGGAGTTCTCTAGGAAGACATCTGGCTGATTTGGCTATATGAATGTGTCCCTAATCCCCTATAGACTACTTCTTTTTCAATTTCTTGGAATTAGACTGCAAATATTTTTTCGACAAGCCACATCGACAAGCCACATTAAAGGCTAAGGTGATTTTAAAGCAACAGGCTGAATATGACAGAAGGTGCTCAGAACGCCCCAAATTGTCTTATTAAAACTGCCATATTTTCTATAAAACTTTATTAATGGTGGATGGCAATATTTCTTTTACTACAGGAAGTAAAACTGCCACACAAATGGAACAGTTTTTTTTCTCTACACTGTAATCCTTAGGCACTTTCCATTCAAAATAATATAGACACACATAGCTTCAGGTCACAATCTGCCAAATGTGACAGTACAAACTGTAAACTCTAGTTAAATGTCCATGTCAATTCCTTATGGCCTAAGACAAGTTGCTTTATTTTCAAGTGCCTTGGGCACAAGTTCTCATATTCTATAGTGGCATATGTGGGTGGATTTAGTGCACAGCCCTATGTAAAGATAACCATAATTAAATATTTACATTAAATATGATCAAATGGTCATATTTGGTCTTTTTTTCAGTGCTATAATACAAGACTAAGGGGTCTATTCACAAAGCTGCCGAGGGCTCGGCCAGCCATTGGCCGGCCGCTCGGCCAGCTTCGTCTTTCAGCACGGCTCAGCGCTCGACTGAGCCGCTCGGCCGTGATCGGGAGCTGTACGTGCTATTGTGAATAGCCCGTACAGCACCCCCTCGGTTCTCCTGAACCGAAGGGGTCCTGGTGCCGAAGCTAGCCGAAGGATCGGCCGAAGCTACGGCCAGATCCTTCGGCAGCTTTGTGAATAGACCCCCTAAGAGTTTATCACCAGTCACAGTTTGACTAGCTACAAGCATGGTATGACTAGTGAGCTAATTTTTTTTTTTTTCTTTTATAATAGACATACATTACCAAACCTATATAACCCACCTGGCTAAGCAAACATTTCCAGCCTTTTGACATAAGTAGAGTGAATATTTTTGTCAAGTAGTTATTGCAGTGTGTGACCCAAGGGAGATTTCACCTCACTTGCAGGTTATGTGACAGCAGGATAAGAAATAAGGGACGCAGTTTGTAACTATGACAGAAAAACACAGACAGTAATAATAACATGACAGATGTCCTAGCCCTTTGGCAATGTTGCTGAAAAAAATTGGAGGGGCTATACTTATACTTATTATATTGCCTGTGTCTGTTTTAACATCTCTAATACACTTAAAGGGTATGTAAAACCTAAATCTGTTATGCAGTATGTTTGCCATCATTTCTCACTGTGTATTGTATACACAGTAAAATACATTTTTGTGAATCTGTTGCAAAGTTTCTTACCTGGAGATCAGTACTTCCTGTTGCAGACTGACAACTCTAAGCCACCACCTCACATTTAGCAGCAGCATTGTCAGCCTGTTGTGTACGCTCGTTCAGTTGACCATTGACCCAGCTATTAGGTCTATGAAATAGGCAACCCAACAACCAACTGAAAGGTTTCACACAACAGGATGGAAACGTTGCTGCTGCTGATTGCTAGGCAGTGGCTTAGAATTGTCAGCCTTTAATGGGAAGTGCTGTTAAGGGCAGGATCTCCAGGTAAGAAATTTACAGAACAGATTCACAAAAAAACTACTTGATTAAGAAAGCTGTACACATTGTGGTATGATGCCAAACATACTGAAAACTAGATTTAGGGCATCCTACACTTAAAGTTATCTAACTTTTGTTTTGAATGGAATAAGGACATTTAATCAACCAGTGCAACCCATGATGTCATTCAGTACAAAATGAGGGTAAATTCCTTCTTTGGCTATTCTCATTGAATAGGTGTACTCATTGGAAGATTTCCCCTCATTTCCTGTTCAGTGACATCCTATACTTTTGGATTTCCCTTTAGCTTTTTGCCCCAGTGAAACTTGTCACCAGACCAAATGGAGAGAAGGCTTTCCATTGGGCAGAGGTTCTAAGCAACTACTATATCCGAAACTAAAAACAAGGAAAAACTTTTGTCTACAGATACACATGAAATATGTGGCATAAATCACAGAAACCCATATTGAATGTGTACATTAATAATGCGGTTTAAGCCATCATAAAACATATTTGTTTTCTGTTTTAAGGCAAAGACAGGAATTTGTTTGCTGCAAGATGGTAATCAAGAGCCTTTCAAAGTTCGACTCCACTTAGCCAAAGACATACTGATGATTCAAGAGCAGGACGTTATCTGTGTGTCTGGTGAACCGTTCTACTCTGGTGTAAGTAATACATTTAAGACCAATTACATAATGCACTAATTGCCCAGTTATCTGAAGAAGACACTTGCTGACAAGTATTATATATTGTGCAGTGGCATTAGTCTGCATGCTGTTTTTATTCATGAGAAAATATTATGTACCCTGGCCCCTCTTTTTTGGTTTTGGAACCCAGGATTGACTGAAACAGCTGCTATTTAATATTTTAAAAATGGTAACCAAATACTATTTACTATATACATACTGCATGTAAATATCTACAGTATCTTGGTATATAAGTAATCTGAAATCTGTAGGGAAACGCTAGAAGGAAATACCATTGATTCCCTACTGTTTCTTCTGAATCTAGGCTGTATTTTCACATAACAGTAAAAAATAAATAGCAATGTGTTTGCTGCATACCCTTTTTGCGCAACAGATAAATCTCAGAAGCTCAGCAGTTTGAATTCATTTGTGGTATTTACATTCATCGTTAATCAGTAGGGAGTAGGGGTTGTGTAGCCTCAGGCTTAGTTCACAATAGTTACAGGGGATCAAAATATAAAAGCAAAATATATATATATATCTATATATATATAGATATATATATATAGAGATATACTGTATATATATATAGATATATATATCTATAT